AGTTGTTAGATCTGTTCAAAGTCTGTTCCATTTAGCACGGTGATAGTGCCACACAACGTGATAGAGGTTATTCTCAACGTGAATTTCCAATGATCAGCAATGATTTCAAGGTCACCAGTAGATTCTTAATTCCAGATTTTTTAAAAATTGAATTCAAATTCCACCATCTGCAGTGGCAGGATTTGAACCTAGGTCTCCAAAACATTACCTGGGCCACTGGATTAATAGTCTAGTGATAATACGACTAGGCTATCAGCTTCCCTTACTCAATGCCACTAGGCCATCACAGCCCCTTAATACCACTAGGACATCGCCGTCCCTTACTCAATAACACTAGACCATCACAGCCCCTTACTCAATACCACTCAGCCATCGCCTTACCTTACTCAATACCATTAGGCCATATTTGGTCTGAGAGCAGGCCTGATGATGTGAAGCTGGAAGTTTACTGATGCCAATTTGTGTGGGAGGTCATGGAGCTTGACATCTTTCGCAGGGATGTTGTTGTGAAGAAAGTGGATGATAGTCAGGGCAAGCTACAGCCATAGTACCTGACTGTGATTTACATGTCAGAAATTCCTTTCTCGGGGAAGGAGAGGAGAAGTAGAAGTCACGTATGAATAACAAATTGGGGAATTAATGAGAGATAAATCCATGGAAATTATAGGTGTTTGCCACTCAATGGCAAGATTCTGAAGGCACACCATTTAGGGCACATGTGGAAAATCACAAAACAGTTTTTCAATGTTGAGGCTCTGATTTTCTCAATAACTCCCTATTTTCTAAATTTTTGCCATTGCTCACACTACACCAAGGAGGAGGAAACTCTGCCCTCGATATTTTTAAGTCATGTATTTATAGACTGGGTTCTAATGCCTCTGACATGTGGGGTCAATCACAAACATAACAGATCTTTACCAAAGTCCTTTGGACTTTCTATTTATTTCAATGAATGGATAGAGTACTCAGGGAACTGTATTAGGGTCATGTATTACAGGGTGAATTTTATATTTGTGCTCCATCCACCCTATATATTCATGTACTAAAGGGTAAAAATCTAATCCAATCTTTTATGTGCTTCATACATTGAAAATCTTAAGTTTAAAGTTTTTCTAGAAGACCTTATATGGCAAAGAGACATTCAAGTTTTGTCTTATCGTTGGAGAATTTGATACAATCTAATGTTCAAAGGATTTAGTATCTTTCCTGTGTGCCGATACCATTTGTACAATTCCCCCTGCCCCCTGGACCCTGCAAAGGCTAGGACCAGAACACTGTGAGAGCAGATACCAAGGTAAAAATCCATAGGGGAATGAGAAAAGCATCCAGAGATCAGACAGAAGCATTCACACTTTGTATCATGGCCAGGTGAGCATTAAAAAGCTATTTGACAGCAATGAGTGGCCAGGAGGTGAGCAAGGAAGATCTTGAGTGTAACATAGAACAGTACAGCACAGGCAGATGACCTTTGGTCCACATGCCTGTGCCGACCATGATGTCATTCTAAACTAATCCCACATGTCTGCACATGGTCCATAACTCTGTATACACTGTCTGTTCGCATGTCTGTCTAAATGCCTCTTAAATGGTGCTATCCAGTGAGGAATTGGAAATAGTCACTTGACATGAGGAGCCAGATACCTAGACTGCCATACGGCTGGTTCTGAAAGAATTGTGAAGCAAGTGTCAACCCTCCCCACTTTACTGAACTCAAAATCCTCTAGGGGAAGCAGAACAGTTACTACAGCACCGGCTAATTTGCTGCAGCCCAAGGGGAAAGAAAAAACTGTATATATTTATGCAGAGTGTGCCTACACCTGAGGTTGCTTTCAGATGTTGTTTAAAAAAAAATCAGAATTTCCTGAGGCCATTAGCTTTCATCAAGATTCTCTATCAGTTGTTCACCCCCTTTTATTTGCGGGACTAGGCAATTCAGTTATAGGATGGATCAAAGGTGAGGTCAGGCTTGTTCCCATCTGACTGCTCAGCTGGTGGCAAATTGTGAATGAGTCAATGTTTCCTTCAATCAAGCCCTGAGTATTTTTGACCGCAGCCATAAACACAAATCCTCTGTAATTGTAGCATCCTGCTGTTGCTCTGGCTGAGACCAGTGCATTCATTGCTGACCTGACATCAAAACTGGGATCTACTAGCTGGGGCCAACTCAATTTGGCCCAAACAATGGTAAAAATAAAATTGGAAGTAGCACCTGATGTAACCCACAAAGTGATTACACAATGCCATCATCCCATTCTATCCTTTTATGTAAACAAACCAGGTAAAAAAGTGTTTTGCAACAACCTCTGAAAACGTCTGTGCAGTAAAAGTAAAATTGTTTGAATTTCTTCACATGTTGCTACATACAGAATGCACCTGACATTTCAGATTCATTCCCAAAAACAAGTGATAAATTAGATAAATGTATGCTCTCATTGTAGTCTCACCCTCTAAGAGCGCACACTAGGAAATAGTGTGTCCACCCTTAAAGATTCTAAATGTATTAACCTCCTAGGAGCAGACAATTGTGAAATTTATCCTCGTCTGTGAAAATAACATTTGACTTTCAGACCGGCAAAATATACTTAAATATTTTAAAAATTTCTGTAAAATGTTATGGTGGTTTTGCGATATGTTCATTGTGAGACCACTTAATCTGTGAAAACAGCTAGCATTTCATTTGAAATTTTTTCTGTGAAATGCTTTCTCTAATTTGGGTTGCTTCCAATTCTGTTGACTCACCTTTTGTACTGATATTTTCAAAATGATTCATGACTCTCAGTTGGACAATGAAAATAACACAGTGACAGTTTACTGCTAAAAATAGATTATCAGGCAAATTGAATTAGGCTACTTTGAATTCAGGTGAGTAGAAGCTACTTTGAGTTATACATTGCCAAAATAAACTTGAAGAACTGCAGATGCTGCAAATTTGAAATTGCTGAAGAAACTCAGCAGGTCTGGCAGCATCTGTGGGGAGAAAACAAAGTGATATTTCGGGTCCAGAACTGAGTTCTGAAGAAGGGTCACTGGCCTGGAAATGTTGACTCTGCTTTCTCTCCACATTTACTGCCAGGCCTGCTGAGTTTCTCCAGCATTTTCTGTTTGCATGCCAGAGTAAACTGCTCAGGCTGGATGTTCCCAAGACTACACAAAACAGGTGTCAATTCTGTATCCAAGGGTAAACAGTCACATTTTTCATTTAGACGCCCCTTAAATTGGCATGGAGGCGGGATCCCAGTCTAGTTAAAGGCATGTGGCAGATGGGGTCAGCCTATCAAAGCTGGGTATTTTCAGAGACCCTTGATATGAGCTGTAATGGATGATAAGTATTGAACAGGTGCTTCAACATGGGGCAGGGCTGCCCTCTCATCCATCTTTTGAAAACTTTAATTGTAAAATGCTAACTGCGGTATTGCTGGGCTGCTCTTGCACCCAGACAGGAGAGAAGGGAATCCATACCTAGACTCATAGAATCCCTACAGTGTAGAAAGAGGTCATTCAGTCCATCGGATCCACACTGACCGTCCCTGTCCTGCAATTTAGCATGACCTGTCCACCTACCCTGCACATCTTTGGACTGTGGGAGGAAACCGGAGCACCCGGAGGAAACCCACGCAGACATGGGGAGAATGTGCAAACTCCACACAGACAGTTGCCCGAGGCTGGAATTGAATCTGAGTCCTTGGCACTGTGAGGCTGCAGTGCTAACCGCTGAACCACCATGCCACCCCAGTACACCAGACACCCCTTCCCTTCCACTCCCTAGCTGGCATCATGTGCCAATCATTAGGCAGCTCACCTGGTTCCTGTGAGTGTGGGCCAGAGGAGGACGGCTGCAGAATTCTTGTCAGCCTCCTTTAATTGCAGTTAACAAGGCTCTGAAGGAGCGTAATTGAGGTCAGTTAGCCCTGTCAGACCCAGCTCTACCTGCACTAAAATGGCTGGCACTGTGAAACTGGCATGGTGGCCACACTGGTATTTGTTTGGTCTCTTTCTGCCCCAATTCCCGGTATTCCATAGCTTGAAAGTCTTGTTGCGAAAGTTGAGCTACAATAGAAGTATGAGAGGAAAATTTCAAAAACACGAATTGAAAGGCATAATACTGTGTCTGCTAGGAATTGTAAATAAAAACAGAAAAAAATTGGCGAAAAGAGCAACAGGCCAGGCAGCATCTGTTCAGTGAGTCACTCTCCTCCTGACTCTCCAAAGCTTATCCAACTTCTACAAGGCACAGGTCAGGAGTGTGATAGCATATTTCCCACTTGCCTGAATGAGTGCAGCTCCAAGAAGTTTGGCACCATCCAGGGCAAAAGAGCCCACTGAATTGGCACTATATCCACAAGCATCCATTCTCTCCACCACCGAAGCTCAATAGCAGCAGTGTGTACTATCTACAAGATGCACTGTAGAAGTTCACCAAAGATCCTGAGGAAGCACCTTCCAAACCCATGACCACTTCCATCTAGAAGGACATGGGCAGCAGATATATGGGAACACTACTACCTTCAAATTCCCCTCCAAGCCACTCAGTATCGTTAGCTGGAAATATCTTGCCATTCCTTCCGTTTTGTTGGGTTGAAATCCTGGCATTTCCTCCCTAAAGGGATTGTGAGTCAATCTACTGTGCATGGACTGGAGTGGTTCAAGAAAGCAGCTAATGACGACCTTCTCAAGAGTAACTAGGGGCAGGCAATTAATGCTGGCCCAGCCAACGACTCCTACATGCCATGAATGATTGATTGAGAAACATTTTTTTAAAAACCAAGTCTATGTTTCAACTTTTGTCTTCTGATGAAAGGTCACAGACCTAGCACTGTTTTTCTTTCTCTCTCTTTAACTAATAATGTCTTGTCTGGATTTTGTTTTTGCTCCATTTTCTGTCTTTATTTCAAAAACATGAGCCACATAAGTCCAATTGTCTACAACTTAGTAATATCAATATATGAAATAGATAAGACTGCTAAGTGCACGTTTATTTCTATTGTACTTCTGGATTTCAGGTCTGTACCTGGTGCAAAATGATTTTCTGCATGCAAAACTTATGAAAACCCATGTTGTTATTGTGAGCTTATAATTATGGAGCCATGATTTTTCAAATAAATATATGCAAGAATTACACTAAACCCAGCCAGAATTGGTACAAATGTTTGGAAGTAAAGTAGCTCACAATGAGAATCTGATTGTTGCCATCTAACAAGATCAATTTTCTCCTCAGGTAATTTCCACATTCCTGTATATTGTGCTGACCCATTATTATGTTGCTGGTGCCGTCGTTGCATTGTTTGTTGAGATAAACAGCATCTTCCTCCACACCCGACTGCTTCTGAAACTGGCAAATGCACAGACCTCTCAGCTATACCACTACAACAAGTACATCAATGTCTTCACCTATATTGTTTTTCGGCTGCTTGCTCAGTTTTATCTCACTTGGTACGTGCTGACGAATTTAAGCATCCTCCCCAACTCAGGCTACATTAGTCTGAACTTGAACGCAATGAACGTCATGATCTTGGTTTATTTCTACCGTCTGATCCGCACAGATTTCTTCAGGAAGCCGAAGCACTACTTACAGAATGGCAACAACAACACAAAGTTTGTGGATGATTAAAAGATTCGTGCGTTTGAAAATTATGGTTTGAAATGGAGACAGATTTATTGAATTAATTTAAAGCTGGACTAAATACATGAAGCAGAATACCTTAAATTTTAACTGTTTAACTGCTGTCTGTCCAAGATTGCATTTCTAATGTAATATATATAATGGGGTGAGTTTTTAGGCTGCTAAGGAAGGAAACTGATGGAGCCAGTACACATGCGTGTTATCTTTATTAGTCAAAATGGCTAGATTGGGTAGGACAAGAAATGTGACAAAAAAAATTATGGTGTAATTGTAAGGATAAAAACTGTGTACATGTTTTCTTTTAATTTATTGTAATAAGGGAAATAAAAGATACAAGTGTATAATACCAGTAAGGAGCCTTGACAGAGCTCCATCAGACACTAAGCATTATTATCCAGAGAATGGATGTGCAATATGGATGAGGAAGGTTCATGTTTGATACCCAGTCTGATCACTGTTGTGACGGTGTTGTGGTAATAGAGGTAGTCACAGTGCTTCTGGGTTGTGGAGCTAATAAAGAACTGAGATTCCTGCCTTGGATCGACCAACTGGCAATCCCTTCTGAAAGTTCAGGTGGGTGACCAGATATAGGGGAAGATTGTTGGGCTTGGCTGTGGCAAATAATCTGTCAATACCATCGACTCTGTAGTTTTGGAGTCTTGGCTTACGTGCATTTAGTGAGATAGGAGTTATCACGAGCATGTGGGCAGGCCTCAGCCAGGGAAACTGTCTGGAGCAGATGTGGGAAACATGCACAGCTGGTCAGGAAACCTGCTACAGGGTACTGTTGGCAGCATCCTCCAAGATGTCTTAAGACAATACTTAAACATCTGCAAATGTTACTTTTTTTTTAAAGCACCTTCACCTTTGCAACCAGTTGAGCTACCCAGAAAGTGAAATAATGCCTCTGCCATTCACAGCAATATCAGATATGGGGACAGAGAAACCTCTTATCACAGGCTTGCTAACACTGCATATGCTGGATGCTGGGAAATCCATCATATGATGTATTCATATCTATTTAAGGATAACATTAACTGCGCAGCCCATTTTAAAGGCCTAGGGTTCCTCAAACAAAAAAGTTAGACTGGGCTGGAGAAGTTCTTTAAAGAGATTTTTTTGCCTCAGTTGGCTGAAGTAAGACAAACTCCATAATGTAATTTCAGCAGAAAATCTCACTATCCAAATTCATGCATTATTTCTGGCTACTTGGATGAGGTACATAGGACATCTAACTTGTTCACATAATACAATGCCAAAAAAACTGATCTTTTGTTATGCTACAGTAGTCACTGTCCATGAGCAGATGTCTTCATAGCATTATGTTTGTGTTAAGTAATTTGTGTTTAACTGCATTTGTAGAATTAAATCTTACCTGTAAAACTGATGCAAAACTAATTTCATTCTCTATGCGTAAACAAAATTTGCAATGGAGAACAGTAAGAAATGTATGTTTTTAATAATAGCACAGCTCGTATGTGAAAAGGGTGCAATCAACTGTCTACACAAAATGGAAACAGCAGTTATGTGTAGCCCTCCTTTTTAAAAGGCAATTTCTGCTGTCTTGCAAGGAGATTGAGGAGGTAATGTGATATTTTTAATACGTTAGCATTACCTGTTAACATACCAGTGCCACTGCTTTGATTATGTGCACTATCATGCTGAAATGCAATTTTACTAAACTTTTTCACTATATCTATATTTGCAAGTAAAACAGGTGGAAAGAATTTATATCTTGCATTTTTCAAATCTTCCAAGTATGTTTATTCAAAGTTTCAGAGGGACTGCATTTCACCTGCCTTCTTCTACTGTTCCAAAACTTGCTCAACAGGAAATTGTATCTTGCAAGTCCAACATTCCTAAAGCAATGTGGCCACAAATGAATATCAGATGGCTAAAAGCAAAGACGAGTTTAAGGAGAGGAATTGACATTAACACTCTCCTGTGTGATTTGTAGCATTATTGGAATAGCTCAGACAATGGCAACCTAGAAGTTTTGCCTTGGTCAAACAGCTCTGGCTTTATTTTTAAGGCATTCCAGAGCTCTTGTGGACAATACACAATCCCAATTATTTATCTAACTTTTATTAATGTTAAATGCAAGGCTTTTTAATGTCTGTGACAATAGCGTTGCCCCAACATCTGTCCATGTGTGAACCCTGCATAATTATATGTCATTTCCTCTCAAATTCTGTAGAATTAAATTAAGCATTACAGTCACTCTTTGCTGTTATTTTACTAATAATACTTTCTAGAAACGTCCAGTTGCAGCACTGCACTCCTCTTAGTTGAAACTTGTCTTGTATGGTTTCCATAGCTTTGCCAAAAGACAGTAATGGTTATTAATAGATAAAATCATTTCTCTTTTATAGTTGTATATGACACTGATTGACTTCTTGTGAAGTACTAATGCAACTCAATGCATATGTTAAGTTAGATTGACAAGACGAATGATCAATGTTTATGACACCTGAAAGCCCAGCAAGTATAACCGTGTGCATTGTTGCTTGTGATTTCTTTGTTATCAGGCAACTGGTGCAAAACCTTCTGCCAATAACATAGCATTCAAAACAGTAAGCTTATTCTGTTCCAAAAAAAATGTTAAAGAGTTGGTCTAGAATATTATAAAACCAAGTATGAATGAGGTGAGTTACTCTATGAGTGACACTATCGTTAACAGAATATTGAATATCTAAGGAGAATCTGCTGTGTTATGATAAAATGTGGTTCACTAGGGCGGGGTAAATGTAACTATTATATCCTTTTTAAACCAACTGGGATGATAGGCAGATATTGGGCTAGTAACGATCTGCTTGAACTAGTTTGGTGAAATGTATGTTCTTTTCATTAAAATTGTTGGTGCTGCTAATAATGTTTGTTGCCTTGTATAAAAGAGAGTAAAATGTAGAGTTTTCTATGTTTTTCAGAATCTTTGACAAATAAAATTACATTCTGTGAACTTCAATACATTATGTTGTCACATAAATATTTTACGTTTTCCATTTTAAAAAATAATATTCCTCTAGACATTGCTAATATTTTAAGTATAGTACTGAGCATGAAATATCACATGTTAATGCTGTAGGTATTAAGAATACATGAATGCCACAGTTTTATTAGTTTGTCTGAGATCCATTGTCTGAAGGATTCTCATTTGCACCAGAAATACTATTATCTCATTTTTTTTAAAAAAGTGATCGGCATCTCTGTTTGTTTTAGAATCCTGGTCCTTTTATCTCAGAAATTCAGCAGTAAACTGTGGCTGAATGGTGTCCCATTGCATTGTTTTGAGTCACACTGAGAAAACAAGAGGATTTTGCCAGTTCAGTTTATTTATAGGGCTAAGGGCAGGTGAGTTTTCTCCAGTAAAACATGTTTTCAGACAAAGGGTGGTTATGAACAGAATCTTATAGGGATCTGAGCAAGGTGGGCTGTGTGGACATAGAATCATAGAATCCTTACACTGTGGAAGCAGGCCATTCAACCCATCGAGTCCACACCAACCCTCTGAAGAGCATCCCACCCCCTACTCTATCCCTTCCTTTCCCACCCTAGACGCTACGAGCAATTTAGCATAGCCAATCCGCCTAACCTGCACATCTCTGGGAGGAAACCGAAGCACACGGAGGAAACAACGCAGACACAGGGAGAATGTGCAAACTCCACACAGGTGGTCACCTGAGGCTGGAATCGAACCCGTGTCCTCGGCGCTGTGAGGCAGCAGTGCTAACCACTGAGACTGATCAATTATCTACCAGTCCTCTAGGGCACCTCTCACATCCAATTTCTGCCCCATTTTACCACACACCATTGCTGAAACAACCCATCACCCTGAAGATAGTCTGGAATTAACCAGCTGCTCTTGTGCTTGTGCCAGAAAATCACTCAGTCTGGAGCTGCGCTGCACAGTAGCCACATTTGCCCTTGAGGTGGCACTGGAAAATTGGCAGCCCACTTTGCAGGTAGGGACCTGGAGATGTTGCTGGACTGGGTGGTGCTAGTGTAGGGCTTCCTTCCCCCACCCAGGACCAGCAGTGGAAGACCTGACAACAGACCACACTCCACATGGTACAAGGTCACCATTCAAGTAAAGCAGTCTCAGCTGTCTGGAAGAATGCCCAAACAGTAGGGAAATGTCAATGATTTTCTCCATTCTGCCAGCAATCATGTCACTGTCTTCTCTCCAGCACCTCACACTGAATTCCTGTGACTGTACCCTACACCCACCAAGGCTCATACGCTTCTATTCTCACTAATGTCTTCAATATCATCCCTACCTGCTACCATCCACCCCAACCCCCAAGATCAGTAAGCTTGCATGCCCTCTGCACTGCCTACTCACTCACTCAGTACACCTTCCCACCTGCATCAATAGTAATAGCTGTGCCATCCACTTTCCCCTCCCACAGAATATAGAACAGTACAGTACAGTACAGGCCTTTCGGCCCTTGATGTTGTGCCGACCTATTGTCCTACTAAAATCAATCTACCCTGCATACCCTATATTTTACTATCCTCCATATGCCTACCCAAGAGTCGCTTAAAAGTCTCTAAAGTATCTCTCTCCACTACAGCGCATTCCACACGCCCACCACACTCTTTGTGTAGAACCTACCTCTGACATCTCCCCTATACCTTCCTCCAATCACCTTAAAATTATGCCCCTTCGTAATAGTCATTTCTGCCCTGGGAAAAAGTCTCTGACTATCCACTCTATCTATGCCTCTCATCATCTTGTAAACCTCTATCAGGTCACCTCTCATCCTTCTTCACTCCAATGAAAAAAGCCTTAGCTCCCTCAACCTTTCCTCATAAGACCTGCCCTCCAGTCCAGGCAGCATCCTGGTAAATCTCCTCTGCACCTTCTCTAAAGCTTCCACATCTTTCCTATAATGAGGTGACCCGAACTGAACACAATATTCCAAGTGTGGTCTAACCAGAGTTTTATAGAGCTGCAGCATAACCTCACGGCTCTTAAACTCAATTCCCCTGCCAGTGAAAGCCAACACACCATACACCTATCAACTTGGGTAGCAACTTTGAGGGATCTGTGGGCGTGGACGCCAAGAACCTTCTGTTCCTCCACACTGCCGAGAATCCTGCCATTACCCCATAATAACTACCTCTCTCCTATTCCATGAGAGAAAGAACCCATGAGTGGAAAGACTCAAGATGGGTGGTGTGCTGTCCATCATTTGGCTTTTACTTGCTAATGAGGAGAGGAGCACCCTGAGCAGGGCCTGGACTGATACCAGAGTCTCCCACTGACTGACTGTGCCGGGAACCCCTGAGTGAAGGCTACTTCCTTTGACGTAACTGAATCCTGCTGACAACTATGACAAGTTTCCCATCTTTCTGTCTGTGCTAAACAGCATGGCAAGATAGCAGTAAAATGAGCCTGGTAAGTTTGGCTGAGAGGGAGAAACACAAAATAAAAGCAAGGCAGTACAAGACAGAGATGCTGTGAGCATCCAGCTGGGTGAAAATTAATGGGCACAATGACAGCCAGGGACATAGCCTGGTCCAATTCCTGAGCTGGGTGAATGTCTCTAAGTGCATGGCGTCCTGTCAAGAGCATTACAATGATAGTTACCAGTGCCAGCATTTAAGAGAACTGTCCTGTAAATGGGTCTATGATGTACCAGGAGGGTTCTTACAAGCTGATACATGTGGGATGCTAATGTCTATGGACATGGGGTGTGTGTGGCATGTTCCCATGAAGTGTGCCTATGATATTGGTGCCTGGTTTCCAACATGGAGGTCAGTTGGAGCAAGCATTGAGCTGAATCTTCCAAATGCCTAATGTGTAGCTTGTTTGATGAGTTTGATAAGAGTGGAAGCTGGCTATTACTGAGAGGATTGTGTTTTAACAAGCATTAATCCATGTCAATTGGCATCTCACCAATGCTTAGCGAGAATTTCACCACACTGATCATGAAAATGTAAGTTCTTTGCACTGTCTTACCCAAAGTCAAATAAATTGATTTACCAGATTTGCATTAATGGAACAAAAGGCAGAAGTTAAAAGTGCCAGTGTTCTTTTAAGGTACCACTTATGGTCATTTCTCTTTATTACTCTATTTATAAGTTACTAACCACTAGAGCAGGAGCATCAAGTCAGGGGGCAAGTACAATCAGAGAACAATGTGCATTGACTGAATAGAATGAGTAGAATATGTCTCCTTAAAATGGTGGAAAGATGTAAATTGGGAATGGAAATGGGTGAAAGAGTACCAGGTTGAATGAGTCTAGGAAGAGCTCTTTCTTCATCTACATGGAAGGCACCAATGCGACTGGGAGAAAGAGTTAAATGGGTTCCTCAATATTCTAGAGACAGCAGTATCAGTGTAGAGGCAAAAGTGGAAATGAGTTTGAAGAAGCATATCTATGTGAACTGAAAAGGGAAGGGGAACAGGTTCTCAGGCTGGATCGATGAACAAAGATGCTTTTGTGAACTTGCAGAATGAGCTGGGGTGGCAGCATAAGGTGGAGTTGACAACAGAACATCTGGTTTAACTGGAACAGAGAAGAAAGAGAATGCTTTTCACCACAAATTTGAAGCAGAATGCAGAAATAACCCATGTTGCTAGGGTCCATTCTACAATTGGATTTGACAATTGTGTATATATCAATATCTAACATTACATAATCTTGTAATTTTATGAAAAAAAGTTATGTTATTTGCCTTCTGTTATGACCAGGTCAGTTGTGGTAAATCAGCTCCTCACTGTTTAAACCCCTCAATTAACTACAATAAAGTTCATAAATTCTTTTTAGCAAGCATCTTTATAATACTTCAATTGAAACATAGTTCTCGTCAAAATTAAGGAGCCAATTACAAGATTTCTTGAGTGTAAGAGAGAAACTTTATTATTAACTTCAAGAAAAGTAATAAGATGTCATATTAAACACACACACACACAACTACAGGTTACAAAAGTTTAAAAGAGAGCATTGTCTACTTCACAAAGGAAGATTAAGGATAGAGAGTTTGGAAAATCCTCAAAGTCTCTGAGATGTTAAGTTTTAATTTAAGACCACTTTTGTTTAATGGATGTCTTGTACTCTTAGCTGTAAAATTTGTAGATATCCTTAAGTTCTCAATGAATGGATATTCCTCCAATTTCCTTTATCACCTGGTGCTGATTTTTTTCTAACAGGCTGAGAGAAACAGGGCAAGATGGAAAGAGAAGCCTTCCAATTCTTTTATTATAAACCAAATTTCTACTCTGTTCAAAAGCTGTTGCCTGAAATGTGGCTCCTTTGTGTATCCCATATCTGGCTTCATTGTTTTTTTTGACACTGGATAATCTGCAGATGAGTTTCAGCTCAATATACAAAATTCCAGAAATTTATAAATCAAACACGAAATACATATCTGAGTAACTGGTCATATTGGTATTGAAATCTATAGCAAAGGCCCATCAAATCTGTACCAGTCAAAACCAACCACCTAACTAGTCTAATCCCATGCTCCAGCACTTAGTCAAGGGTCTTATATGCCTTGGAATTGCAAGTGTTTGTCTAAATGTTTCCGTATATTGTGAGAGACTCTGCCTCTATCACTGTTACCGGCAGTGAGTTCCTGATTTCTACCACCCTCTGAGTGAAATTTTATTTCTTCAATCCCCTCTAAACCTCCTGCCCCTTACCTTAACTCTATGCCCACTCCATCACCCTACACCAAGGGGAAAAGTGCCTTTCTGTCTACCCTTTCTTTGCCCTCATTATTTTATACATCTCAATTATGTTCCCCTTCATTCTCAACTTCTCCAAGGAAAACAACCCCATTCTGTCCAATTGCTCTTCAGAACTAATACTCTCCAGCCTAGGCAAAATCCTGGTCTATCTCCTCTGCTCTTTCTCCAGCGCAATCACATCCCTTCTATAATGTGGAATCCAGAAATGCACACAGTACTCTAGGTGTGGCCTAACCAACTTAGACAGTTCCAGCATAACTTCCCT